TTAGTTTTATTCATTTCAAACGGGCCGGATCCGGCCTGCGGGCCGTAGTTTGCCCACGGCTGAATAAGATACTCTATATGAAATAGGCAAATTCCTAGAAATGAAAAAATTACCAAAACTAAGTCAAGAAATAAAAAAATCTAAGCAGATCTATAACAAAGAGTTTGGATCAATAATCAAAAATCTCTCAACAAAGAAAGTACAGAGCCAGATGGGTTCACTGGTGAATTCTATCAAACATCTAAAGAATTGACACCAATTCTTCTAAAAAAAAAGAGGAGCTAGCACTTCCTAATTCATTCTATAAAACCAGCATTACCTTACTTCCAAACCAAAGACAGATTATACACCATGACAAACTAAAATTTATTTCAGGAATACAGGGATGGTTCAACATACAAAAATCAATCAGTGTGATATACCACATTAATAGAATGAAGGGAGCAACAAGGACAGTAATATGAAAATAAAGCTCTTTGTTATTTAAAAAAAACGTATTTTTTATTTAAAACAGTTTTTTAATAACAAAGCTTTATTTTCATATTACTGTCCTAGTTTTTTTAGCTGTTGCTCCCTTCATTCTATTAATTTGTGGAATATAATGAACAACATAAACTGATGAACAAAAACAGATTGAGAGCCCTAACTGGTTTGGCTCAGTGGATAGAGCGCCAGCCTGCGGACTCAAGGGTCCCAGCTTCAATTCTGCTCAAGGGGATGTACCTTGGTTGCGGACACCTACCCAGTGGGGAGTGTGCAGGAGGCAGCTGATCGATGTTTCTCTCTCATCGATGTTTCTAACTCTCTATCCCTCTCCCTTCCTCTCTGTAAAAAAATCAATAAAATATGGATAAGGACACATATGTAATACCTTAATCAGTAAAGAAAAAAATAAATAAAAAATAAAGAGGAAAATGGCATCATCTCACTAGATAAGAAAATGCATTTGGCAAAATTTAACACCCTTTCATGGTAAAAACTCGGCAAACTAGAAAGAGAATGAATTTGCTCAACCTGTTAAAAGGCATTAATGAGTCCTGGCCGGTGTGGCTCAGTTGGTTGGAGCATGGTCCTATACACACTCTGTACACCAGAAGTCGCAGGTTCCATTCCCCCCTGGTCAGGGCGCATACCCAAGTTGTGGGTTCAATCCCTGGTCTGGGTGTGTATGTGAAGTAACCAACCAATTGACATTTCTCACATCAGTGTTTCTCTCCCTCTTCCTTCCTCTCTCTCTAAAATCATTTTTTTTTAAAAAGGCATTCATGAAAAACCGACACCCAGCAATATACTAAATGGTAAAAGATTGAAAGCTCCTCTACAATCAGAAAAATGCTCACTTTCACCACTGTTGGTCAACATTGTACCAGAAGTTCTAGCCAGAGCAATTAGGGAAGAAAAATCAAGGAAACCCCAATTAGAAAGAAAGAAGCAAAACTATCTCTATTGGCAGTTATGATCCTGTAGATTAAAAATCATCAAGAATCCACACACACACAAAAGACTGAGAACTAATACAGTAATGCTTTGCAAGATACAAAATCAACACACAAATGTCAGTTGATTTTTATACACTGGCAAAAAAATAATTCTGAGAAGAAAATAATTTTATTTACAATAGCATCAAAAAGAACAAAATACTTGGGAATAAATTCAACCAGGGAGGTACAAGGCTTATACACTGAAAAGTATAAAACATTGCTGAAAGAAGTTAAAGAAGACCTAAATAAATGAATGGAAAGACATCTCATGTTTGTGATGTTAAGATGGCAATACTCCCCAAATTAATCTACAGCAGTGCAATCCCTATCAAAAAAACCGAATGGCCATTTTTTTTTAAGAAATTAGAAAAGCTGATCCTAAAATTCATATGGAATTTAAGGGACTCAAAAGAGCCAAAACAATTTTGAAAAAGAACAAAATTGGAAGAGTCACATTTCCTGATTTCAAAATTTGTTACAAAGCTACGGTAATCAAAACAGTATGGTGCTGACATAAGGATAAGCACGTAGGCCAATAGCATAAAATAGAAACTCCAGAAATACACTATAGTCTATTGATTCTAACAAGGGTACCAAGACCATTCAATGAACAAAGAACAGTCTCTTCAACAAGTGGTGCCGAACAACTAGGAGGAA